TCTTGCTCCGTCCCAGGCTGGAGTGCAGTAGTGTGATCTCGGCTCACTGCAACCTCCTCCTCCTGGGTTCAAGCAACTCTCCTGCCTCAGCCTCCTGAGTAGCTGGGACTACAGGCATGTGCCACTATGCCCTGCTAATTATTTGTGTTTTCAGTAGAGATGTGGTTTCACCATGTTGGGCAGGATGGTCTCAATCTCCTGACCTCATGATCCACCTGCCTCAGCCTCCCAAAGTGCTGGGATTACAGGTGTGAGTCACCGCATCCAGCCTTCTTTTCTTTTTAAGAGGCAGGGTCTTTCTATGTTTGGCAGGCTGGTCTTCAACTCCTAGACTCAAGTGATCCTCCCACCTCAGTCTTCCGTGTAGCTAGGACTCTAGATGTATGCCACTGTACCCAGCTAATAGGGCTATTATTACTATTATTTTTTGAGACTGAGTCTCAGGCTGTCCTCCAGGCTGGAGTGCAGTGGTGTGATCATGGCTCACTATAGCCTTGACCTCCTGGGCTCAAGTGATCCTCCCACCTCAGCCTCCCAGGTACCTGGGACTACAGGTGCATGGCACCATGCCTGGCTAATTTTTTGTAGAGATGGGGTTTTGCCATGTTGCCCAGGTTGGTCTCAAATTCCTGGCCTCAAGCAATCCACCTACCTCAGTGACCCAAAGTGCTGGGATTACAGGTGTGAGCTACTGTGCTCAGCTAGATAAGGGCTATGTGAATAAGGCTTGTTTTGTACAGATTCATCTCAGCATTGACTCCTCATCTCCAGAGATTATAATGTTCTTCACTTCCTGTTATTAGAAGGGCTCCTTTCTCTTGGGAAATGTATGCCCTTCTTTTAGGTAGAAAGGGGGAGGTCAAAGAGCTCTTCTTGCATCTGCTGTTTCTCAATTGCCTTTAGCTCAAAATAATTGATATGTCAACGGGCATATTTTGGGTGGCATGTTCTGATCCCCTTCAGGTTCTTAATTTTCCCCATCCAGCTGGGAATGGTGGCTCCTGCTTGTAATCCCAACACTTTGGGAGGCTAAGATGGGTGAATCACTTGAGCCCAGGAGTTTGATACCAGCCTAGGCGACATGGCTAAACCCCATTTCTACAAGAAATACAAAAATTAGTGGCTCATGCCTATATTCCCAGCTACTTGGGAGGCTGAGGCATGAAAATCACTTGAGCCCTGGAGACAGAGGTTTCAGGGAGCTGAGATCTCGCCACTGCACTCCAGCCTGGGTAACAGAGCAAAACTCTGTCTCAAAAACAAACAAACAAACAAACAAAAATCCCTATCCTCAAGTGGCAAGAATAGAGGTGGGACACCCCAATCCCTGCTGCCACACCCAGCTGATTTTTGTATTTTTTTAAGTAGAGACGGCATTTCTCCATGTTGACCAGGCTGATCCCAAACTCCTGACCTCAGGTGATCCACCTGCCTTGGCCTCCCAAAGTGTTGGGATTACAGGCGTGAGCCACCGCACCCGGCCAGGAAACACATTTCTTAACTCTCAGATCCCCATTAAAGTTGCATGTCTAGACCTGTATTTACAGTCTAGTTATATTTGCACAGTAACAAGTACTGGAGCAGTGCCCTCTGTGATGAAAAGTAACTCTTCCTGATTGACTCCCTACTATGTGCCAGGTCTTATGCCCAGAGCTTTGCCTCCAGTGTCCCATGGAAACTTTAGACTGTATCTACGAGGTCAGAGACGGTAAGTGCCTCACTGGAAGGCATGCTGCTCACGAGTTTCAGAGACTGAAAGTCAATCCAGATCTGATCCAAACCCTTACTCTGTTCCCTATCCCAGCTGCCTTAAAGCTCATTTTAATCATGTTGTCAACTTTCTAGCTCCCAAAGCTCACAGGACAGACCTCAGCAGGTGGCTGGAGATCTAGAGCATCACTATTCAACTTGAACAGAATAAGAAGTATGTACACATTAATTTAAGATTTTCCAGTAGCCACATTAAAAAAAGTATAAACAGGTGAAGTTAATTTTATCAATATTTATTTATTTTTGAGACGGAGTCTAGCTCTGTCACCCAGGCTGGAGTGCAGTGGCATGGTCTCAGCTCACTGCAACCTCTGCCTCCCAGGTTCAAGGGATTCTCCTGCTTCAGCCTCCCGAGTAGCTGAGATTACAGGCACCTGCCACCATGCCAGGCTAATTTTTTGTATTTTCAGTAGAGACAGGGTTTCACCATGTTGGCCAGGCTGGTCTTTGAACTCCTGACTTCAGGTGAGAATTGCCTGAACTGAGGAGGCAGAGGTTGCAGTGAGCCAAGATTGTACCATTGCACTCCAGCCTGGGCCACAGAGGAAGACTCTGCTCCAAAAAAATAAATAAAAAAAAAAGTAGATTCACATCCTGAGTTGTTCCAGGTATACCTAAAACTTCTCTGTTACTTAATCAAGTATCTGCTTTTAAATTAAAAATTAAAATTAAATAAAAATAATTTGGCTCCTCAGTCACATTAGTCATATTTCAAGTACTGAATAGCCATCAAGTGACTAGTGGCTACCATATATACAGCATGTTTGGAGTCTCCTTTTAAACCAGGAAAGGGGAGAGACATTGGAACTGGCCTGTACTGGGAAAAGCTACATTTTTCTGTCATTTCTCCAACCTCCTATCAGAGGCCTGATTCTGGAACACTAGATCAGCAAATTTTACACCTTAGAATATTACACCTAAGAATATTACCAGCATGAGGCTGAGGAAAATTTTACACCTAAAAATATTACCAGCATGGGGCTGAGGAACCAGGTGCAGTGTCAAATGAAACACTATCATGTATTCTCTGGGTAACTCCCCTACCTTTGCTTCGGGGGGAGCTCTGGCTGGAGCAATAAGATGGCAGGAGGAACTCATGTCTATCCCTCTCACCATCTTCTCCCTGTGGTCATTCATTTATCCATGAAATATGTTCATGTCTCCTGGTGGCCTGGGCCCCTCCTGGTGCTGGGAACATGGATGTGGGTAAGAATGCATGAATGCAAAACCTAGAGGCTGATGAGGAGAGAAAACCAGGGAACAGGAATCCAAGATGGTGGTGCGCCACTGCCTCTTAGATGGAGGCAGAGGCCACAGTGGGGACTGTGGGAAGATGGGGAGCCAGTGCCATGAGTCCTAAAAGAAGAGGGGCTTTTACCACAAGGCGGAGGAGCACTGGCTATCAGGGAGATTGCAAATCCTACTCTAGGCCTGAGAGTCAAAGGAGTGAGGGGAATGTGCAAACTTCATTTGAGAAGACACAGGGAAGAAGGGTTGTCAGAGGAGACCCACGTTGTGGTTCAGAGTGGAGTGGATAGAAAATGCATTGAAGAGGCTGAGAATGCAAGAAATTTGTTCCCCTTGGACTAGGAGATCCAGAAGGCACCGTGGAGAGGCTGAAGGGGAGGACAGCAGAGGGGGATGGAACTGGGTGGGGAGGGGACAAGTCCTGGTCAGTATTGAAGGGGGGGTCACCATGAAGAGCTTGGGGCTGTGGCCAGGATGTCAAGGTTGAGAGGTGATTGCTCTGGGTTATAAAGTTTCAGCCAGACCTGGCCATGCTTCCAGAGGAAGGTCTAAGATCTTCCCACACACTGAGTGGCAAGGAACAGGAGGCCAAAGCCACTGACCCTCTTACAGGAGCCTGTGGGGCTCCAGAACATCCAGAGGGAATGCCCAGTGATTAGGCAAAACGATGGACCAAGGTGTCGTCCTCACCTGCAAAGGGATGTCAGTTTCTATTTTGAATCTGCAGTGCCCTATTGCTCTGCTGACCTGATAAAGTGGCAGGGGGCAGGAGGCAGGAAGGAGAGGAGGTCCCCAAGGCACACAGATGAAGGAAGAATCTGAAGAATCCCCAGCAGGAAAGGAAATTCCTGGTGCAGCAGGAGGCCGTTCAGCTGCTTTGGGGTCCAGATTCCAGTGCCCCACTTCTGAGACAGAGCAGGACCCAGGGATCAGTGGATCATCTGCAGGCTCCAGAACCACAAGCCCGCTTCAGGGGCCTCAGAGCCCACCCAGGCTGAGAAGTTTGGCCAAACTGGGGTGTGAGACAATCTATAAAAGGAGAAGGAAAAAATTAATGGGGCACTGCTATGTGCCTGGAACACACTCTCCTCCAGCTAGAAAAAGTGCAGTTGTAATTCCGATTTTGTAGATGAGGAAGCAGACCCTAAGACACAATATTCTCACACCCAAATTGTTAACATGGCTGGAGAGTATATGTGTGTGGGTCTTATTATTTTCTTACCATTCCTATCTATTCAACAAATAGTTACTGGGTATCTACCATATTCCAAGCATAGTTGGTCAGCTTCAGCATCTCACTGCAGGCCCCAGGGCACAGGAACGAAGGCCACCCACGGCATAGTCTTCTCATGGCAAAGCACAGGAGCATGAGAGAAGCCAAACATTTGAAGTCTACACACTTTTCACAAGCACCCACAGTCCACTGTCCAAAGCAAGTCACATGGTCAAACCCAAAGTCAATGGGATGGCAGTTATATTCTGCATTCTCTGTTGAGAGGCTGTATTAGGCCATTCTCTCACACTGCTATAAAGATACTACCTGACACTGAGTAATTTATAAACAAAAGAGGTTTAATTGACTCAAATGTCCTTAATTCCCTGACATCCCCAAATCTTACAGGTTAAAGAGAAGATGGCCCTTCCTTCTCTGACATGACTGGCAGTGGCCACAATTCTTGGGCTGCCTTGTGTAGCTCAGCGACCAATCCCCATCTGGAAGGAAAGAATGCTTTTCAGTCAATGGACAATTTAGGAGAATGTGTGGGTTTTCTGAAGAATCGCACAATTCCCTTAGGATTGCAGCACCATTTTGGAAGAGGGTTTTGTACAGCTAGTTAGAAAGCATCAACTCAATGGGAAATTGCGTCAGAGGGAAGGTAAGGCTCTGGTTGGTGCTCCTGAAAGGTAGTGAGTATGGTGAAAACAATCTGGACTTTGCAATCAAACAGATATGCATTCTAATCCCTGCCTGACCACATATTGGCTGGGTGACCTTGAGCAAGTTATTTAACTTCTCTGGGCTCCAATTCCTACCTACCTTGCAGAGTTGTTGTGAGGATCATTACTGCATAGCAGGTAAAGTGTCTACCCTGTGTATGCTGATAGCACAGGCCCAATACAGTCATTATTTGGACTTTTATTTTTCCTACCATGACAAACTTGACTTAAAAATATAAATCTGTAGGTTTGCTTTCACATTGAGGGGTCCTGACTGGCAGACTGCATTTAATGTCTCCAATTAACGGCTTCCTTATCCTGCAACTTCGTATCTGCCCCCACTTTGACAATGAGCTTGGCTATGTCACTTTCTTGGGCCAATGGGATGTTAGCAAACAGGCTGCCAGCCATAAACTTGAAAAGTGTGTATATATTTCCACTTGTTTCCATGCATGGCTGGGCTTGCTCGTTTCTGTACCCTCTGCCATGGCCTGAGAGCAAGATCAGGCTAGCTGCTGGTGAGATGTGAGAGACCTGCTGAGAAAGCGAAGTCTTCCCAGCTGATCGGCCAGCTGATCAGAGATACATGAGTGAGCCCAGACAAAAGCAGACTCCTGAGAGATAGAAAATGGTACTGTTGGCCAGGCACAGTGGTTCACGTCTGTAATCTCAGCACTTTGGGAGGCCAAGGTGGGTGGATCACAAGGTCAGGAGATAGAGACCATCTTGGCCAACATAGTGAAACCTCATCTCTACTAAAAATACAAAAATAAGCTGGGTGTGGTGGTGCATGCCTGTAGTCCCAGCTACTTTGGAGGCTGAGGCAGGAGAATCACTTGACCCAGGAGGTGGAGGCTGCAGTAAGCTGAGAATGCGCCACTGCACTGTAGCCTGACGACAGAGTGAGACTCCAGCTCAGTAAAAAAGAAAGAAAAAGAAGGTGGTGTTGTTTTAAACCACTAGGTTTTAGAGGTGGTTTGTTACACAATGGTCATTAACTGACATACCTTTCCAAACTTACCCAACACGGGGTAACGTGTCTGTAGAAGCCTACAGGAATCATATCACCCTCATCCTACCAATAAGATAATGCCATCATTTTTCTCCCATGAAGTTACTTTCTCATAATGAGTTAGCATCAGGTTATCCTCAAATCTGTAATGTTACCAATACACTGACTTGGGTCCTTAGTTTCTCAAAAAAGAAAGGAACCAAACAGTGGTACCAGGAGCATGATGAAACATTTCGGGAAGTACAAGGAACTTAGAAAAGAATACCAGAGAGACAGAAATTTTACATGTGGAACTCACAAAAGATACAGCCTAAAGTCACCAAGGGAAAATTTCAATGAGCAAGACAGTTGTGTAATGGGAACTGCAGGATTGGAAGGCTGATAAGAAGGATGGTGTTCAGAGAAATTAAGGCAAAGAGGAAACTCCATAGCTACGAAGTGCCACAGTAACTCTAGATAGAGTTCCTTTTCCTGCCATGATGAGGACTACAAGGCAAGCACCAGGATGTGTAATTTTACTACAAGTTTCATTTCATTTGCATGCTAGGTTCAAAAGTCATTACATAAGATTAAAATCTTGTATAGTTATTCTTGAAATTCTTTATGTGGCCTATATAAAGCACAATATACAGTCATCCCTTATTACCCATGGGGGATCGGTTCCAGGACACCCCACAGATACCAAAATCTGCAGATGCTCAAACCTCTGAGATAAAATGGTGTTGTATTTGCGTATAAGCAATGCACACCCTCCCATAATCTCCAGATTACATATAATACTTTTCTTTTCTTCTTTTTGAGATGGAATTTCGCTCTTGTTGCCCAGGCTGGAGTGCAATAGCCTGAGCTCAGCTCACTGCAACCTCTGCCTCCTGGGTTCAAGTGATTCTCCTGCCTCAGGCCTCCTAAGTAGCTGGGATTACGGGTACTTGCCACCATGCTTGGCTAATTTTTGTATTTTTAGTAGAGATGGGGTTTCACCATGTTGGCCAGAAGTGAGCCACCACACCCAGCCTACTTATAATACTTAATACAGTGTAAATGCTATGTAAATAGCTGCTATACTGTATTGTTTAGGAAATAATGACAAGGCAAAAAGTCTATAAATGTTCAGTATAGACACTACCATCCTTTTTTTTCCTTGAATATTTTCTGTCCACAATTGGTTGAATCCACAAATGTGGAGGGATCATTGTACATGGTTTTGTAGTTATAACCAATTGATTCAAATGTATAATACAATGTATGTGTGTTTTCTGTTTTTAAAAGCAAATACACAATTCTTATAAATTAAATGTGTAACCAGTGTGACTGCACTTAGTGCCGAAGTACTTGTGGAAACAACACTGGCTTTGGCATTAATCCTGGTTTCTGTCACTTACCAGGTGTATGATGCTGGGCTAGTTCTGTGATATTGTGCTGGCCTAGAGCCAGAACCGGAGCAAAACTATTTTATAAAATGCAAAACTATTTTTAGATAAGTTGAAATGGCTGCCCCATTCTCCTTACAATAACTACTGTCCTTGGCCTCTGTAAATAGAACTGCTAGTTTGTTCTTCAAAACTATGTAAAGCTGCTTACCTTTTCTTATCAGTAACTGCCAGAATTGCTAGCCTTTGCTTACCGGCAATTGCCAGACTAAGCAGCCCAAGCTAGTTCCATCCTGGCTCCTGTGACTTGTAATAAGTAACTAAGGTCTGTGATTTCCACCTTAACCAGATAATGTGTAAACAAATGTTTATCTTGACTTCTATAAACCACTTAAGTAACAAACGGAATGACAAAAGTCCCCTGGCACTTGGAATGTCCGGAGACCCCCACCCTCATCTCTGCCCAGGAGGTAATTTACAGAATCCACTAGCCCTCGGAATGTCTCAAGCCTTTTCATCCCCATCCCCGCCCCTCACCCCCACTCCCAAGGTGGTTTTTCGGGTATAAAAAAATCGTGGCACCCTCCTGTTGCCACCAAAGGTTGGAGAGACGTGAGTCCTCTGTGGTCGCCGGCATAATAAATGACCCTGCAATCTGGCATACTTTTGTCTTGTGATAACTTTCTACGCTCCGGTCAAATACAACAGTTCTACTTACCCTCTCTGTTCGCTCATCTGTAAAATGGGATTAAGTCCTAATCTGTAGGGTCAGCTGTGAGAAATAAATGCGATAAAGCATCTAGTCCAGTGCTAGGCACATATATGTTGCTTAACACATGGTATTAATCATTAACACAATACAAACAATAGGAGACAATAAATGGTCACTGCATTTTACACGAACATGAGTCTATGTGATGAATCTAAACTGACTTGTCAGAAATCTTAATCTCTACCCTATGAAGTCATTCCCTAAATTCCCAAAATAATCTCTGCCTGTTTTTGTTTCATGCTTTTGCTAATGGGGATCCCTTGCTTAAAACCCACTTTCTTCTCATGTTTACCACTGAGTAGCTGAAACTAAAGGCCCAATTTAAGGCCAGCCTCCTCCAGGCTTTCTCCTGCAGAGTCCCCTTGTAATTCACCTCTCCTTCTAGTACACTGTACGTTGGTTACAGTCGTGTGCCTTCTGTTTAATTTATTTACCTGTTACTTCTGTCCTTTCTACAAGAGGCTGGTACCAGGTCTAATTCCTGTCTGAATCCCTCACAGTGGAGCACAGTGCCTGGCTTGGGGCACGGGCTCAGCTGGGCATGTGGTAGCAAACTCAGATTTGTTTGGTGTCCCCATGGCTCTCAATGAGACACTGCTTGAAATGACTGCTTCCTACAGAGAAAGGCCCATCTGTCCACCTGACCTCCAGAATGGTTCCAATCTCAACCGCATTAGAGTAAAAGACTGCATTCTTTAGGGATTACAATGAGATGCCCCATGGAAATAACATGGCTCTCCCTAGAGCCAAAGTGGTACACAAAATAAATGAGATTAGCCATCACTGGAAGTGAGTTTACAGGATAGGCTGTCTTCCTAGTTAAAGGAAGAAACACAGGGCCTGAAAAGCTAATTAAGTTCTAACTGAAGCTGCCCACAGGATTGAGTGATACCACCTATGTTGCATAAAACTGCTCACAGGATTAAGTCACAACAGAGATACAAAGCACTTAGCTCAAGGGATCCAGGCAGTAGGCATTCAATTTATTATCTAAGCCCCTTGGCCATTCTGTTCTAAGTCAACACTGAAGACTAGCTTATCCACTGTCCTCTTTGAGTTTGATACACTTGAGTCCTTCCTTCAGGCCCAGGCAGTTTGAGAGGGCCACCCCTAAAGCTGATATCTTAACTCTAGGCCCTGGTGCCTGCCCTTGGGTACAATGCCTTGTGGAACTGGGAACTTTTCTCTGCCATTTTCATCTTCACTTTAATTGCCAAAGGGTGACGAGAACCCCAAGCCCTAGAGATATTACATTTAGTCGGTATTACCACTGGTTCCTTCAAGTTTTTGCTTTGGCAGAGAACAGCTCTTGGTTCAGAGTTCCCTTTGACTGTGATCTGCTGCCATTTTCCAAATTCTGGCATTCATGACTCCTTATGCCCTGAAGACTCAGTCAACCCAGACTTTCAACCAGCTGCTCCCAACCTGTATTTTTTTTTTGAAACAGTGTCTTGCTCTGTTGCCAGAGTGGAGTGCAATGGTACGATCTCGGCTCACTGCAACCTACGCCTCCCTGGTTCAAGCAATTCTCCTACTTCAGCCTCCCGAGTAGCTGGGATTATAGGCATGCACCACCGCGCCCAACTAATTTTTGTATTTTTAGTAGAGATGGGGTTTCACC